TTCTTTTCCGTAGATAAATTATACAAAAACTGTTCAAATGTTTAATTATTTCAAGCGCCACTTATGTTCATAGCACACACTTCATTCAGTAATTCTCTAATTTCAGTGGCCTTTGGACACAGTATTGCGCGAAAATTATTATAAAAGAGGTGTTCATTTTCCCTTACTTTTAACGTCTTGGGCATGACGATAAACTACACCCGGCAGGAAGGCCTCTATCAAAAGGTTTTCAGGAGCGTGAAACCACCTCTTAACAGCAGTCGTTTCCAGATCCACTCTGATACATGGTGGTACCACCAGTAAGCGTCCCATCTAAAGTCAAATAGTGAAGCCCCAAACTGATGTCAAAATATGAAAATATAAAAATACTTTAGAAAAAATTACCAGCGATACATTTTCATAGTAAAAAAAAATCAGCAATACATGTTTCGAAAATACAAACTCCACGTTTATATCACGCACCTCATTCAGTAATGTTCTAGTTTGAGTGGCTCTTGGGGTTAGTAATGGGTGAGCATTAATATAAGTAAGACAAGATAGAACTGTATCTCAGTCTAAGATAGATATTTATAGATAGGATAGCTACAGTATAAAGAACGGCGAATGGATTTTTGATTGCCAATTTGTTATGACCAACGATGAGGGTGAATAAATACACGAGCCTCGTTGATCAAAATCAGAATGAAGGCATCGACTTAGGAATAACTGGCCCACCGATCGATAGTAATTGTATTGTTCCACACACTTTGAAAAGCCAAACTATTCCTTGAAATAATTCTACTTATTAGCATTCTCGGCATGTTCCAGGCAATTGATTTTGACAGGGAACTGTTTGTCCCTGAAAGACGAAGGCGTCCTTTGTGCGTATGTAGAAAACAAACTGTGATCGAAGAAGAGGATCTCATTTATATATATATATATATATATATATATATATATATATATATATATATATATATATATATATATATATATATATATATATATATATATATATGTGTGTGTGTGTGTAGAGAGAGAGAGAGAAAGAGATAGGTAGATAGGGAGTGGGAGGATATATTATACAGTGGCTCGGAATGGTAAATTGAAGAGTCGAGTTCGCATCCCAGTCGGGTTCGTAACATTCATTTTTTTAAATATATATATATATATATATATATATATATATGTGTGTGTGTGTGTGTGTGTGTGTGTGTGTGTTTTTGTGTGTGTGTGTGTGTAGAGAGAGAGAGAGAAAGAGATAGGTAGATAGGAGTGGGAGGATACATTATATAGTGGCTCGGAATGGTAAATTGAAGAGTCGAGTTCGCATCCCAGTCGGGGTCGTTTTATTCACTTTTGAATAAATATATATATATATATATATATATATATATATATATATATTGTCAATTTTTGAATAGAATGTTAGTTTGTTGGAATGTATTTTTCAGATTGCTAAAATGATATTTTGGGTACAAAATGCCGAAGAAAAAATATTTACTTATTTATTTATTTATTTGTATTTATTCCCTGTTTTACGATTGCGTTGGGGCATACGAAGAAGAACTAAAATAACAAAACTTATATATATATATATATATATATATATATATATATATATATATATTAAGTAATTCATCGACTCATGAGTCCCAAATATAGGACGAAACGGCCGTCCAGTGCCTTCTACATGCTGTTGAGGTTTCTTCTAGACTCGATGAATTACTTAATATAAATATATATATCCAGGTAAAATGAGAATAAATGGAGTATGATTTCACTGTACGTAACATTTGATTTAATAAAGGGTTCAATACATATAAATACTCTATATTGTAAGGAAAAAGGTGCTCAATGCCAATTAACAGAGTTATTTAATACTTATTAAGAAATATACATAATACCTTACATTGATTGCAGAACTCTGAGTTTCATGCCGCCTCATTTTTCTAGTGCTGTTATTTTTACATTTGGGTAAAGCAGTCTATTTCTGGTTATCGTATTGTTGAGGTGGATTATTATTGTTGTTAAAATATTTAAATACATTGTAGTTTAATTTTCAATTTGAATTCAGTCCCAGATTATCATTTAAGATTGAAAATGAGAATTATAAATCTTAATTTGAAGAGACGCTGAAGTTATCAAAAGTAATAAACAGTAAGAAACATTACGAAATTAGGGTAACTATTTTTTCCATAAAAATCAATAAAGTAATTAATAATATTATTAATATTAATATTAAATAAAAGTAGCGAAATTAATAATAATAAAATATCCCGTAATAAAATAAAATTAAAGCACTAATAAAAATAATACATATCAATGAAAATAAAATAATATAAAATAAAATATGATAAAGTCAACAGAATGTATAAACATAAAAATGTATTAAAATAATTGTCGGACTTTGTCAATTTCATAATGTGTGATGTCATTTGTTTATATTTGGATATGCATCGAGCAGATATGAATGTACGTGAGAAAATCGTATAAAATTATGATTTAAAAGCAGCAAAATCGACCTTGCTAACCAAAACGCTCCTCTGTGGCGAAATCGGTAAAAGCACGTCAGGTTATATAACGGTTCCGTTTAGGATACAGGTTCGATTCCTGTCGGAGGACGCATATTTTCTATGAAAATTTCTCGGATATTCAGGCCGGTAAATGTTGTTAATACTGTTTATTATAAACAGAGCATTTTTGTATCTATAAAAAAGAATGTATAAACATAAAAAATGTCTTAAAATAGTTGTCGGACTTTTGTCAGTTTCATAATATATATAGGAATATATAACTAAATAATAAGGGCAAATAAATGAATAAGTAAATATAATAAATGCAAATAAGTAAATAATACGTTTATAGGTTATGTGCCATGCATGATACACGCATGACTGACGAGGCAGATTTTTTTTCCCGCAGTAGGTTGGCTTTTCTTTCTCCGGCATACCAGTTGCCATCCAAGGCTATAGAACTCGGTCTGTCCTGTTATTTACCTATAGCTGGGGTCAAGAAGAGGATTCATACCTTTTTTCAAGGGTATTAGCACGTAACTGATTCGACTGGAATTCGAACTCGGCTCTACAGCCACGACTAATGAGGTCGACTCCGGTCCTTTTGATTCATGAACAAAGCTTCGACCGAAAGAATCTAAGTTTCGACAGTCCTCAAAAAGAAAAGGCTATCAGAAAATACTTACCTTTTATTCCTTGATATGATTGACCAAACTCCTTTATTTTATATACATGTGAATATCTATTTTTCTAAGAAGAAAATATTCTTTGATTAGCGACGAATTCCCATCCGTCGCCGTAATCTTAACTGTATAAGGATTTCCTCTCCCACTCCCACATATAGCTACACGTTAAGCCAGCTATTAGGTTGGTGCAAAAATAATGACGTAATAATGTCGTTTTTGACGTTAAAAAATACGTCAAAAAACGACATTATTACGTCATTATTTTTGCACCAACCTAATACTTTCTGGGCTCTCACACGCTTATTAACTGTTAGCATTTCCCAACGTATATTGTTTAAACCTCAGCGTGACTGTTTATAAAAATATTTTATTATATGTTAAATAAAACCCACTTTTCGTTATTACATGTAATCTTTTCTTTCAACTAGAATTTCTAAGAATCTGTTTCATCTTATTTTTTATTGCGTCAGCCGTAACACTATGAAATTAGTTATAGAAAAGGCAGAGGAAAGCTACGTTACGGCGGTTGGAAAATAATTGAAGCTGAGGTGTCAGGACAGTACCGATATCATTGCAGATGCTTCTTTGGATTAGATCAATAATCTCTAAGTACATAACAGAGGCACCAAGTCACATGTAACATTAATATTCAATGCATAGAAGAATGGTAGATTTATAAATGTGTAAGGTAGATTATGGCTTCGTTTTGGACACCTGTTATGGAGTGATTTCCCAGTGGAGGCTTGTATTTGTACTAAGTCGGTCCTAAAACAGGTTTGACGTACAAAACGTTAGGAACTTCATATAATAGGTATAATCTAGTTGTGGTCGCTGATACTTTTAGTATCCGACTAACGGTCGTCCGACATCGACTGACTGAGCGACTCCCTGAGCGACGGTATTTAGTCCCCCCCCACGAGGGTATCATGTGGCACAAGGCCGGTTTAACGTGGGATCTCCGAGCCCGTGATCTCGGCCAAAAATATGCCGTTTGAACCCGTATAAACGAGTTCAGGGTCGGTTTACCTCCCCAAAAGAGAATCCGCCCTTCGGCGTAGCCTCGTTCGGGCCCCTCCCCGCCCGAAGGCAGAGAGTTCAACCGGTCAGCCGGTCGTCCGACTTCAGACCGAACTCAGACCGACCCACTGAGCAACTGCTACGTTACTCTTACTACTCCTGCTTATTATAGGTGGGAGAGTCTATTAACTATAGAATAGGTGTGGTCCGCTATAACAACACCACAAAGCCAAATTCACTGCAAATGCTTTTTCTGGGTCTGGTGCAACTGGCGGGTTTCATGACAACCGACTGCATTGCCATTAACTCGAAATATGAATGTTTCAAAGCAACACCTCGCTGTACAGAATTAGGAGGAAAGGAAATAAAATGTATAAATAAATAACTTTCGGGATAATGTGCCACTTGATCTGAAGGTAGGAAATTCAGGTCATGGGTTGTTTTTTGTTCATCTCCTTTCTATATAACAAGCATGTTCACGGTTAGAGCAAAAAGACATGTAGTGTCATACTAGGGCGTATGTAGCCGGAATTCTCGCTAGCCGAAGAGAAGATTTTGACTGTTAGTCTGAAGACAGAAGTAGCAGCAATGATGCTCGAATTGTTATTTATCTCCTACAAAACACTGTCAGGTGAACTGATTGATGAAGACAAAGCTCTGTATCAGGACCAACAGACTTCTTCTTTATTTACTTTTACCAAACTGATATCTTAAGATGTCCTTACTTGAGACTTTTCTCCTAGCGTTTGATCTCACTTCCAGTTTCTTTGTTGAATGTACACTGGGCATTTTCCGGTTGTATTCACAACGACGTAAACAGGAATCGAACCGCAGTTTGGGGAAGGCGCTGACCAGAGGGTGAAAAACTGCGCAAGAGAACCGAGCATATTAATACACCACTATAACTGATAAGAATAGAATTTGAAATGAAAATGAATGAATGAAAATGAATAAAAATGAAGTGAAAATAAATGAAAGAGAGCAAATAAAAACAAATGAATGATAACAAATGAAAACAAACGATGGAAAATAAATGAATGAAAACGAAGGAATGGAAGCAAATGAAAATGAACGAAGATAAATGAATGAAAACAAAGGAATGAAAATAAATGAATGAAAACGAATGAAAATGAAGGGAAAACAAATGAATGAAAGCATATAAAAACAAATCAATGAAAACAAATGAAAAAAAAACGAATGAAAATAAATTAATGAAAACAAATGAATGAAAGCAAATGAAAACGAAAGAAAAATGAAATAAAAACGAATGAATGAAAACGACTGAAAATAATTGAATGAAAACAAAGGAATGAAAATAAATGAATGAAAACGAATGAAAATGAAATGAAAGCAAATGAATGAAAGCAAATGAATAAAAGACAATGAAAACTGATGAATGAAAAGAAACGAATTAAAATATATGACTGAAAACGAATGAATGGAGGCAATTGAAAATGAAATGAAAACGAATGAACGAAAATTGAATGAAAATAAATGAATGAAAACAAAGGAATGAAAATAAATGAATGAAAGCGAACGAATGAAAACGAATTGAACTCGAATGAATGTAAACAAATGACAGCGAATGAAAATGAAATGAAAAAAATGAAATGATAACGAATGAATAAAATAATTTTAAGAAAGGAACAAAGATGAATGAAAATGAAATGAAAACGAATGAAGGAAAACAAATGAAAACGAAGAAAACGAATGAATGAAAATAAATGAATGGGAGCGAATAAAAATGAATGAATGAAAGCGAATGTAAATGAAATGAAGACGAATCAAATAAAAACAAATGAATGAAAACGAATGAATGAAAATGAATGAATGGGAGCGAATAAAAATGAATGAATGAAAGCGAATGTAAATGAAATGAAGACGAATCAAATAAAAACAAATGAATGAAAACGAATGAATGAAAATGGATGAATGAAAATGAATGAAAGCGAATGAAAATGAAATAAAAACGAATCAATATAAAAATAAATGGATGAAAACGAATGAATGAATGAAAGGAAAGGAAAATGAATGAATGAAAGCGAATACAGATGAAATGGAAATGAATCAAATGGAAACAAATGATTGAAAACGAATAAATAAAAACGAATGAAAATGATATGAAGACGAATGAATGTAAAAGAAATGACTAAACAAATGAAAGAGAACAAATGAATGAAATCGAACGAATGAAAACTAATGAAAACAAAGAATTCAGCCCGTGCTCTGCATGTGAACAGCTCATATATATTGCTTGTATGGTATTCGAATTTCTAGTTCGTAAGGAGTGTTCACTCATGACCGGAAGTTGAAATGTAATTCTTAACGCTTAATGGCAACTATCATTTATTCCCGGTTTGTATGCTTACAAAAAATAACTGTAACCGGAGTGTGTCGGCAAATCAAGTTACATTTAGAAGACATTGTAAGAGAGAAAAAGCGGTCGGAATTAGTTCAGTCGCTGTATTTTCTTCCGGTACTTCCGGTTTTATCGAGGCAGACAACGGAATCCTCAGAAATATGATATAAGCAAATTTAGGTTCACATGTCTTCCAATGTCTAATTTACCCAGTTGGTAGACAGGATGCTGTTCAGATTATTATTTTATTTGCATCTGTTGATCTATAATCTTTGTTTTTTCTTTACTCGCTTGATCCTGCATAGGTACTGTAAGCTTCCAGTCGATTTATTTACATTCACTTACGTACTAATACTCTTGGGAAAGGTATGAATCCATATACTAAACCGGAAGTAAACTCTGAATTAAAAAATAACACACAGACACCAACTATGGATAAATAGCAGGACAGCCTGCCTTGGGTGGAAAGCTGTCTAGGAAAAATCTGTCAATTCAAAACTTTCAACTATTGGTAGACAGGAATTGTGGGCGAGTCGCTAAAATGTTCGCTTTCTGACCATGGAGCCGGGTTCGAATCTCACCACGGTCAATATGTCAGAAAAAAACACTTGGGGACTTTCGATTAAATGGATATATATTTGAAATAGGATCGCCGTAGCCAGTCATGTACACACACAACACACACACACACACATCTATCTATCTATCTAAAGTAGTTCCTCGAGTCTAGAAGAAACCACTATATTTGAGACTCATCAGCAGTGCGAGTCCACTATCGAGAATTGATACCCGAACAGTTACGATAGGAGGCAAACGCCATACCAACTGTACCAACGGGCCTCGGTATCAAAGAGGCAAGGAATTAGACTCGATATAGCGTCGCTCGATCACATATTCCGTGGTGGAACTCATCCGAGTTTCACTTTATCCATACGACTGTGCCTCCACGAGCCACGACTACTACCCCCAAGCATCTCAGTCCAGAGCATTAGAAGCCGGTTCAAGCAAGGATATCCAGATAGAAATAAGTAGGAGGATTTGAAATAATCATAATTAATTCATCGAGTGATCGAGCAGCGCTATATCGAGTCTAATTCGTTACCCCTTCGTCACCGAGTCCCGTTGGTACAGTTGGTGTGACGTTTGCCTGATAATGTAACTGTCCTGGTTTTAATTCTCGGTAGTGGATGCGCACTGCTGATGAGTCCCAAATATAGGACGAAACGGCCGTCCAGTGCTTTCTGCATTCTGTTATGGTTTCTTCTAGACTTAATTAATTACTTAATTATGATTATTTCAAATATATTCTAATTACTGAAGGTGTTTTGGCAACCGACGATTTATTTGAACTTCCAATTCTTGCCATAGATTTTCAATAGGATTCAAGTTAGAACTCATTGACGGACATGGTAGAACTGTAATCTTCTTTTTCTGAAGCCACGCAGTTACTGATTTAGAGGTATGTTTGGGATCATTATCTCGCTGGAAAGTAAGTCGCCAACCTAGATGAAGATCTTGCACTGATAGTTGTAAATTTTCATCCAGGATTTTTATATAGTCTGCAGATTTCATTATTCTTCTTATTGCAATTAATTATCCAGCCCCACTTGAGCTAAAACAACCTCAAAACATCATCGAGCCGCATCTATGTTTTAATGTTGCCACTGTGTTATTTTTGAGGAAAGCCTCACCTTTCTTGCGCCAAATCTTCTGTACATCATTATGTCTAAAAAAAAAAAGGACATTTTTCTTTCATCATTCCATAGTACTTGTTCCCAAAGCAATTTTCGTTGTCCAAGAACTTTTGGCAAAATTAAACCGAGTAACAATGTGATATGGTCTGTGAAGAGGGGTACGCTGTGTTCGGTTTCAATTACAACTCATTCCTATTTAAAGAACGACACAGTTTTTGTGCAATCCTTGGTGATAATTTGGGTTTTCTTCCATGCACAGGCAAATTCTCTGTCGTGCCAAACTCTTTAAACTTCTTTATAAAGGACTGTTCCGTAGATCTAACCAGTTTTAAACAGTGCTGTAACTATTTCCCGACTTGTGGAAATCTCTGCCTCACGTCAACGCTAAGCTCCTTTGTGTTCCCCATCGTGTTGTTAACGTAAGAATAACAATGGTGAAACTCTATGCACCACGTGACGTTCTTTGCTGAAATTATCACAAATATTCTACTGAATAGTCTAGAAGGCTTCACTGATAACATAATTATGTAAATTACTGATACTTACACGAATCAATCAATTTAAAACGATATTTTCTACTGCACGAATAATTTTCTTTTCCTATTTTGTATAATTCGCTTGTCAAATTTGTTGTATTTGACCTATTGTGCTGAAAATTGAGTTTTATATTCCTTTCTTGTGCTTATTACCATAAAAACTTGGCATCATACGGGCATTAGATTCTGAGAAATGAATGAATATATCCAAAATTGATGACTGTACGAATAATTTCGTTAATGACTATATATATATATATATGTAAGCAAATGTAAATGGATATAAATCCGACAGAATGAAGAAAAATTTTGAAAAAACAAACAAAAATCCTTAAATGCAATTATGTTGTTTAAAATGAATGAAATGTCGACGTCTGACGTTTCGGTTTAATAAACCTTTTTCAAGACAATATTCATTAAAATAATTCAGTTCAATTTAACAAAGACGATGGACATAAAAACAAGTCTTATCCAAAACAGATAACTGAAAATTTTAAAATGATCAGCTTTCCGTTTAACGTGGTCACGTTGTCGTCACATGGGCGATGTTATTTTCAAAAAATAATATTTTTAATAAAAATCTGAGGAGGATTTATGAATGTTATATAATATCCATCTCACGCACGGTGAATACTAGACCTGGTTTCTTTAATATTTCCCCTTTAGCGATATTAATGCTCGACAAGAATACACATAAAAATTTTAGATCCTAAAAGAATTCTTTTCATTTTCTTTTTCATTTCAAAATAATCAAAATTTTTTAGGAATACGTTTTGAAAGCGTCGCCCATGTGACGACAACGTGGCCATGCTAAACGGAAAGCTGATCATTTTAAAAATTTTCAGTTATCTGTTTTGGATAAGACTTTTTTTTTATGTCCATCGTCTTTGTCAAATTGAACTGAATTGTATTTTAATGAATATTGTCTTGAAAAAGGTTTATTAAACCGAAACGTCAGAAGTCGACATTTCATTCATTTTAAACAACATAATTGCATTTAAGGATTTTTGTTTGTTTTTTTTCAAAATTTTTTTCATATATATATATATATATATATATATATATATATATATAATATACAAAGTCCATATATTATTTTAAGACATTTTTATGTTTATACATTCTTTTTTGTTTAGACACAATTATCTTATGTTTGCTTTTAAAACATTTTATATTAAACACTATTTTCATAACATTTACCGGCCTAAATGTCTTGCAAAATTTTTCCTAAAAAATATTTGTTCTCCGAAGGAATCGAACCTTTATCCTAATGATATATCGTCATTTAGCCTGACAATTGCCTTAACCGATCGATAATGGAGAATCATTCGATTATTCAAAAATCGAGTTTACTGTTTTAAACTTCAATATTCCATGAATCTTTTTACGTACATTCATATCTGCTCAAAATATGATCCAAATGTAAACAACTGATGTCAAATCTAAATGAAATGGACAAAATTCCGACATTTATTTTAAGATTTTTTATTTTATCTATGAAAAGAATGTATAAATTTTTTTATAGATATAGATAAAAAATATGATTTCATAATATATATATATATATATATATATATATATATATATATATATATATATATATATATTTATAAAAATGATTTTTTTATTTGTTAATCCGACAGAATCATTATGTGAATATACTAATATTTAAAAATTTTAAATTAAGAAAACAAAGAAATTATAGCAAAAAATGTCGTCTTCATATTGATTATATCCATTGATAAATCTACATTAAAATAGACGATTACTTATTATTAATTCTCTAAAATCGACTTTAATATCGCCCGATTTTCTTAAATGTTTGTAACCCTCAAAAACGTCTTGTGGTGGTCGACTGATTTCAGTTAAAACAGCCGCCATTTTAAGATTCTCCACAGACACCCGACATTTTACCTCGAATTGATGAATTTTGTTTTGACCTTATATTTTGTTATTTTAGAAAAAGAATTTGCTATGTTTTTTCTTTTTGTAAAATCTTTAGATAAAAAGCACTATATCTTGAAATTTTTAATTAATCTTATCAGAAAAATTTTTTGAAAATAACTCGTTTATAAATTAATAATCAGAGTTTGGTAAAATCATAAAAACTTCATCAAAAAATCACAATACAGTGATTAAATCATTTCTTTATTTTTTACGCGATACATGCTTGAATGAACATGTCTATTTTGATTCATGACAATTTGTAAGACAGAAGAATCTCTCGAAGTCATTTTAGTTCCGACTTAATTTCCAGCTAGAATTAAATCATTTGAAAAAAAAATATTAAATATATAATAATGAATAAAAAAAATGAACAATTTAAAAAAAAGATTTTAATCTAAAATGTTTAACTTTTTAATTAAAGCTTCTTCAAATAGAAATGACAAAACATAATTAAAACCAAAGAGACGCAGATTAATGGTATGTTGTCTAAATTTTTTCATTGTTCGTCTATTAAAAAGTAATTCTTTAATATATAATTCCTCATACTTAGTGAATCATAGGATAATAATTTCCAGATGGAAATAAACCGCAGAACATCGATCAGTCAACATTT